AAGGGAGGCGTTTGGGACGTATTTGGGTGTTGTGGCTCTGTTGTTGCTCTCGAAGTTGTTGCTCAATAGGGCGTTATAGAGGTACCCTCCTTGGAAAAGGCTTCACGCAGCGCCGAGGTCACGGAATTCTGTTAAGCCAGTTGTACAAATCCTACACCTGTATAGCGATTTATCGTGCCAACTGCCTTTAAAAGCAGATCGATAATAGGGCAGATAAACCGTCGGAAACATCGTCGATAACAGGTTCAAAAAACAGAAATGGGTGTGGTTCGGCATGGGGGAGGGCATTTTGCTTCCGTACTCATTAGAGTTGGCAGGTATTCTTTATAATATTTGAGGAGTGCTATCTCTAACTTTGACTGAGATCACTTCATGGCTTCACGGGATTCCATGGATCTCTACTTAATATCTCGTCACGACGCCAATCTGCCCCTGAAATGTTGGTTGGAATGCCAGTGAAGAAGTAGAGAAAACCTCCAAAAGCGCTTCAACTAAGGTTCTGGTTCCTTGTTCCAAGCGAGACGTAAAAAATTGAGCGAGAAATCAGGGAAGAGCAGCGAGGGAGCATGTAAGCGGGCGAGACGATGGATTTGAGAACTAGCAACAGGGGCGGAGTCACTCAACAACCTCGCGCCATAGCGTTCCTATCTTACAACTTTCTGACGCGAAGTTTGTACACAGTTGTCCAGTGGTGTCTACACTACCTTCCAGACAGAGTTTAGATTTTTCCAAGAGATCATGGAATGTGTCTTTAAGTCCACTTGACTCAAGCGCAAAATACAACCTGAGATACACATACAACGCTGAAGCCAAATGCACGGTCAGGGTACAGCAGGGATGTGTGAAATGGTGGCGTCGGTACGACCCCACCTCTCAAGAAAGGGTCCTGGTACGACCCCCGCCCTTCCCCAACACCTACCCACCAATTTTCCACATCCTCCACTTATTCACCCAAGGATTTCCCGTCGGGGGCGGGGCCGTGGCTGTGCGGTGGGGGTGTATGTAGCCAATGTGAAGCTGGAAAATTTCTCAGATTTTCCCAACTTCACAACCTTTCCCGGAAGTTCCCGAAAATTTTGCAACGAGACAGAGGGTATATAGTACACATGAAACAGGAAAAATAACGCGAAAAGTCAACAATCGGGAAAGATTCTTTCCTCCAACGCGCCAAATTTCTCTCAAAGCCACGACCTCCCACTTCACAACAACCACACAATACGACCTCCAGTGTAAAAATTACGACCCCCCCTCCATGTGTTTCACACAACGATGCTCTACCCTGTGCATGGTTCACTCACTCCTCTTCAGCACAGCACTTCGTAAGGATCCCCAGCGAGAGCAGATAGGTGTGGGGGCGTATTGGTCGGTGCATGGAGGAAGGGTTCTATTTGCCTTCGTGAGAAGTTCTCATTCTTTAGTCTCCCGATTTATGCCATTTCGCGTGCGCTGTACTCTCCTCCCCGCCGCCCGCCATTCGTCGACGCCAGTTTTTTTTTTCGGGAGAAAGTAGGAGACTGTCAAATCCCAACTTCCTGGGAAACGTGGTATGAATTTAGGGAAATTTGAAAAATTGGGAAGTTGGTAGGATGGCAGGTAGGATTTGGGGGTGAGGAAGGGACATCATACCAGTAGAAGGAATATTGAGAGCGAGGGAGTTCATATTTTGCAAAACTTCACCTGAACAACAGTAAGTGCCCCGTGAACAGCCTTGCACCTCAATGTCCCTATCTTACAACTTTCGGTCGCGAAATTTGTACAACGCTCTCCAAGGCGGTCCACGAAACCGTCACCTTCGAGGCTCTGTTTCATATAATGACCGCGTAATGTGTCTTTAAGTCCACTTGGCCCAAGTGCAAAATACATGTTGAAGTGCACATGCAAAATCGCATGCATAGCGCAACCCACGATGGAGATTTTTCAGAGCTGATCACCTCACGCTTCGGCTGCGTTCAACTTCGCGATGGCACAGTAGATGCGCGTCATCGCAAAGTCTGAACGCTCCTATACATGACCTGTCTCTTCGCTATTTCTTTCGTGTCCCACAGAAAATTAAGAAGATAATTTCATTAAACTTAGCAAAAAGCACAAACCCACAGACTACAATTTAATTAGACAAAATCCAATTTGTAAAGAAACGACAACGAAGAAAGAGAATCAGAACGTGTGACAATCACCATGAGCAAATTGGTTCGCTTTTGGGCTGTAGCAGCTTTTTTTGTATAAATGCAGCACAATAGTAGTAATTCCTATGGATTAAATATGATAGTAAGGAAATAAATTAGAAGAAAGCAACGGTAACTTCGAAAATAATGAAATACCATTAGATCAATTGCTAATACTGATATGTACAATTAGAACAAACAAAAGAAGATCAATGTCAATTGAACCCGTATATTAGTCTCATATCCTATGAATTGAAGAAATTCTTAGTCTGAGGACCTTTTCGGCTAAGATCACAAATATTATATTTACCATCTGCCACTAGGAACAAATCACAAATTTGAAACGAAACTCCGTTTATGACATCCAACCATATGTAGGTCTAGCCCTAGCAGTGTATGGAACATGTCATAGCACTGAAAATGGAAAAATTAGAGCACTGAGACGGAAATTGCGACATAAATTCGAAGACAAATTGTACACTCATCTCCAAGGACGGTCCTTTCCATATGCAAGGTGACTGGTCCGCAACTGCAGAAACCTGCCATTTCTGCGCTCAAAGAGAGTACGGGAACGGGGCTGAAGGTAGTGATACACGGGGGCCGTTTCTCGACTCCACCTGTGCGCCGCACGGCAGCTACACGCCTAACCATAGCCAGACGCGCCACTGTCTGCGCCCTCTCTCTTCTAGTTGTTCTCTACTCGCAGCGAAAGACTCGCTCAGCCGTAGAGAACACCCAGACGTGAGAGGGCGCAGACAGGCAGCGCCTTTTTAAATGATTAAGCGTTCTGGTGGCAGTGCGGTAGCGCAGACGGGGCCGAGAGACTGCACCCAGATATCGCAACCCTCCAGCCCTGTTTCCGTGCTTCTTTAAACCAGAAGGTGACTCGTTACTGCAGCTGCGCACCCATTTACCTCGAACATGATAAGGAGCATGTCTCGGTGACTGTACATTTTCAGTGAATGTACATTATTTGTCCTTCAGTGATTGATTTATTGATTATCTGCCTACCTCTTCACATTCTCTTGACTTCTGATGGAACACCCTATTATGCATAAAATCTGTGTCCTCATTGTGGAAATATAGTTTGCATTCCGGACAATGTATATACGACCCTGACATATGAGTGTTACAAAATTAGTGAGATTTCGAAAGAAATGTTGCAACCCCCCCCCCCCTTTAATTCTTATTGAACGCAAAACAAAGAGAAACATGCTCACTCGTCAGCACAAGTTTGGTAGTTTGCGCGAAGCCATTTCTCTCCCAATTTTACTCATGACGATTCTTTTCTTGTTGCCATTATGAAGAACGCAAATGCCGACGCTTCGCAGTTAGATAGGCGTTGCTTGTGCACGAGACAGGATTGCATCTAGAACAAACTTAGAATTAGAAATTGTAAGCTGGTATACAGCTTTCGGCACAGTTCGACTTGGAGGAGGCAGCGAGTAGCCCCAGCGAAGACTCTACGGGTCGCCTTGTGATAATGACCTGCCTGTGAATTCTGGTTCACAAGGGTTTACAGATCTCAACTGAATGGAGACGTGTTGTGCTATTAACCAGTTAAAAGGAATAAGCGGTTGCCCTCCCAAGCCAACAGCACTCAAGCTGCATGATAAACTGCCAAAATCGGAACAAAAAAGAGAGACAAACAAATCTGGTCACCGATTTGATCCAACCAAGCCGTTGTTACATCCACAATCCCCGGGTGTGATCTCATTGGGGACAGCTGAAGACGAACTCGCAGGGCTCCGCCTTGTTGCAAGAAGCAACTCCATCCGCACAGAAGAAGATGCTAAAACGATTTGCTAGGGGAACATTCAAAGGAATGGAGAACTGAATAAGCTTGTATTGAAAGATGTGTTTCCTATTTGTAAAAGGAGGGCGGAGTCCCGGTGCATTTAGCGACAATCGCGACGAAACAAACGTTGCAAGCGGAGTACCGTTCACAGTATTCGCACCGGGACCAATCCACTCAACGTGGCAATCTGCGATTCGTCGACCCCCTCTGCGTCTGCGTCTCTCAAGTGAAATACTCTGTTAGAGCGACACCGCGACTGGATAGTCATTTAGAAAACTCACTGGGGATCCCATGCGAGGGGAGGGGATCGTTCGTCGCTGGAGGAATTGAGGGGTCGTACGTATTTGAGGAAACGTTTCCCAGTGTTCACTTTTTTGGTTCTTCCCGTGATTCACGTGCGGTATATATCCCACCCCCTTCCCGCCCGTCTGAGGAAGACGGGGAAGGGGAACCCCACCGGATGGGAATGTTTTGGGCGGTCATATTTTGTCAAAACTTTCCCCGAAGGAAGAAGTGCCGCGATATGCAAATTTCGACGATGACAGGCCCCCTTCATACAAACAGACGTCCCCTTTTTCCTTCAAAATGACTCACAAAGCGATCGGCAATCACTTGAGCAGGCACATTTTTCGCTTTATGGCAAGCATCAGCCAATTTCATCATAGTCTCCACGTAGCGAGATGTAATAAGATGTTGCACTTCTGACGATAAATCCTGAAAAAAATGTGAAGGTTCTTTCATAATCATATCCACTCAAAGCCCCACAAACCTTTTCTGTCTGGATTTCACCCTTTGACAAAGTTCTGCGCGTCCTCAATTCTTCACAAATCTCCGATACAGCTTCTTTTACAGTATCCACGAACTTTGTAATCTTCAGCATGCTCACCTTAAACCCACAAACATTCATATATGACGTGGATGAAAGCCATTTCTGGGAATATTCGGCCTAGGGGGCATTTTGCAGTTTCGCTGGTTCCTTTTACCAGTTCCCTGCTGAGTACATGTGCCAGCTTTGCGAGACCTGTATACTATTGTCAAGTATGGACGCTACTGCATAGCTTTACAGGAATTCACAGGTCTTTACAGCAGTACCGGAAGTGATCGATAGAAACCGGCAAATTGCACCCACCAAACCGAACTGCGCCCGTCCTTAGTAAAATAAATAAAAAGCAACGAACTCTACGAGAGTCAAGGGTGAGAGCATGTAGACCGTTCTCCGGGAGACGATTCATAAGCATGGCATTGAACGAACTGTAGTCGAGACCTGAAGAGAAATTCAGCTGATACATATATATCAGCTTAACAATAAAATTAGACGGCCAAGACAATTGCAAGTTGTTGTCGCGTTGCCGCGCGCGGCTTGATGTGCGACGTTGTGCGACACATTCGCGGTATTTATCAACTACTCGACTGGAGTAGCGAATTCTGACTAAATTTATGCGAAAAAAGCTCCATGACCTGAGATATCGAGTCTTTCCCTCCCTTAGCACTTGAATTCGAACGGCCAGGTAGGACAACTCGCCCGTTTAGCGCGGCGTCGTTAGCCACGCCCACCGGCGGCGAGTTACGATTGTCTTGCCGCACAATCAAAAAATGCTACTTACGGTGGCGGAATTGATGAGGTGATGCCAGTTCAAAAATGGTTGTAAAGTTTGCCGGTAGATTTGATGGTTCAATATCGACAAGTTCGCCTAAATACGCATTTATGCTGCAGAGTAGTGAAACAATTGAGGTTGAAACAAAAATTAGAACAAAAACGGGTGCAGTTCGGTTCGGAGGGGGACCAAGTAGTACTCAGCCAAGCCTACACGGATCAGCTTGTTAGTGAGACCTGTTAATTTTTGTACCAAAGTTGGTCACTTGCAATTCCGCAGCTTCACAAAAGCATCATTTCACCAAGATGAGACCTGTTAGTCCACGTGAACCAGCAAAGGGATCTAGCAAAACTTCAAAATGCCCCTTCCAAGCCGATCAGTGCCCATAAACACACAGCGAAGAGCAACCGGGAACCATAAAACAGAAAAAATTACCGAAAATAGGTGTGGTTGGTTCGAATAAATTGAAGACAAACTGCGCAAATGTAGCCATATTAACTGTTGAAAGAGCTGAAAAAGTGCAGAATGTAAGGAACATCAGTCGCTGAAAAAAACGTATTCAGTTCAACAAGATTACAAATTCAGGAAAACAGGCAGGATGCAGTACTTCTGAAAATTGCGCGTGAAATCAAATTCTTTGCGTCGTGACCACACACAATCCGGCGTACTGTAAGCCGGCTTAGTTACCCAGGTAACGCACTCTTGTTAGCTCCAAGTGAGGCCAGGAAGCGCCAGTTGCTGCCTAGACTAGGCATTGTAGGCACTCGGCGATCCTATCCTATCACATTCGATTTCACGTGCAAGTTTTGGGAGCACTGTATCTCGTTTTTTCTGAACTTATAATCATGGTATAGTTAAACATACCAGAAGCTTCATTGATGATGATATCCAAAGCGAGTGCATTCAAAATCTCAGCGCTATCAGACGAAAACATGGCTGAAAATTACTGACTGATAACCTTTCTCAATGAAACAGGAAGGAAAAACTAACTTTCTGAAATAACTTTTTCAAAATTACAAGTCGGTAGAATGATAGGATCAGCAGAACGTTCATCATCACGTTTTGTGGGGACAAATGACGTGGTAACTTCAACAGCAACTCTGCAAATGCATTACATTAAAAGTGCGACAAACCAGGATGAAATTTGAAGAAATAAAACTAACACAAAAATTGGAGGGGTCACCGATTTGCGACGACGAAGGGAGTATCCGCTGAAAGAAAATTCATCAAATCCTCAAATTATAGAGGAAAGCAAGTGTTACTAGAGGTCTTGGAACGAAAGCCTTGGACGAAAGGGCAGCAATTTCGTCGGATCGTTTATATTACCCCATTTTCTGGAGGATGAGGCGTCCTAAAGGGCGGTCAGAGTTCGCGATGACGCGCGTGGATGCGCGACGACGCACTGCAACGCGCTGTGCGTCGACGCTTCAATGCTGTAGACGCAAACGCAGCCGCAGACGGGTATCGATCGGCGCCGGGCGCTTGTCTTCCAGACACTAAAGGACAAAAGAAGGGGTCAGGCTGTGGTGGAACTGAGAATTGGAAAACCTGTTAACGCAAATAAAGGGACTGTGAGAAAAAGGGTACACTAGCAAGGCGCTGTTTGCCTAGTAGGGACATTTTGCACTACCGCTGGTTTTTTTGCGGTCGTTCCCTTTTAATTACACGTCCCATATTGTTATTGTAGACTACTGTCGAGCGAAACCAAGCACATACTATAAATAGGAACCAACAAAATGTCCCCACCAGGCCGAACTACGGCCATTAACAAGAAACGGCATGTCGCGGCATGACGTGCGGCGATGCGCGAAAAATCTTCGCTGCGCGCCAATTTTTCGGGGGAGCAGCGGAACCCACACGAATTCAGCCGGAGACAGGATTCCATACTAGGCTATATAGATTGTTCCCATCCCCTTCACATTCGACTCTAAAAGGCCAGGCACGGCAACTCGTACGTCAAGCGCGACGTCGCTCGCCACGCCCTTCACTATGGCACATTACGATTGTCCTGGTACATGTATGAGCGGTAGGTTCCACCTGGACAGACGGCGCAGACGTTTCTCATGCAAACTTGACGTTATGAGGCTTAAGGCATGGTAATTTAGTAGTCAGTCTAAAATGGTAGCAGAGATGCTATATAGGGGGGAAAACATCTGTGGACGGGCGGGCGCGATGGGCTTCCGAGTAGGTATGTTGCGGCTTAGTAAGGCGCTAGAAGGATAAAAAGTTAAAAAAGTCCCCATCCACCTGTTCAGGGGCGCCGAAATGTCCTGTTAGACGTATTAATCCTACATGTCTTAAGGATTTTTCGTGCCACTTGCCTTCAAACTATGTGGTGTTTTTCAGTAGAGACTAAAATGGCTGGTGGTGGGGAGGGCGCGGTGAAAATCCCGACATCAGTGCCCCCATGATTTCCCCTTACCCTTTGATAGATTAGTTCCAGAATGAAGACATGCATGTCACATGCCATGACGCACTCAGCTCATTTCGTGAATGTGAGAACTATCAATCACGATGCGCATTAATTGCTCATGTCCTCACGTCCTACCATAGGCATACGCGGTAGATATGGAATAGACCTTTAACTGCTCCTCCCCCCCCTCCCCCGATTCCACCTACTTTTTGTGGCTACATACAGCATCTGCGTGGGGCGGGAGGAGCACGAAATAAGACTCTTTCGGAAGAAAGAAGACACTTCCCTTGTGAGACGCGCCATCTGTGCAAGTCGCACGCAAAGCGTGCCGACAAGGCATGTGAAAGCCACGAGTAAGGGTACTAATCATGGTCTAAGCGTCCCCCCCCCTACCTCTCAAAAATGATTTCAAATGGTCTAACATTTACGAAGTGAATAACATCGCAGAACACCTACCTTTCAACGACAACCACTTCGTCGCCTGTGGTGATATCGTTCGCCGAAGATGACGACTGTGCACCAGTCATAGGCAGCTTTCTGAACATAGCTTGTGTGCCTCAAAAAAAAAATCAGTATGCATATAAGATGACTTCGATTTTTTGAATTTTTGAGAGCAATTTTGAAACCAACCTTCAAATCACCTTCTAACCCCTACCCCTCCCCCCCCCGATGATCTGAGGAGCAATCAACTGATACTGACCTCTGGGTTAATTTTAACTAATCAACGCAAAGAAGTGCAGTCTTGTTTCTCGATCGGCGATGCTGGGGCGTGGTTTTGGGCGGCGACGCCAGCCCGATTCCCACCGGTTTTATTGTCACTTGCCGCTTCACAATCGTGAATAATGGATTCATGGCGCGCTAAACCCAGCCCCTGAGATACTCGATGACTAGTCTGACCATCTTCAGAGTAAGACGGATTTTGAAGGGAATCCGTCGGGTGGAGATCAGGGCAGATTAATTTAAGAGTCAGGTGAGGGGGCAACCTTTACCAAAGAATGGACGAACCATGAAACCAGTGAAGCATATTCAAGAACCTATGAAGAACCAGGAGAGGGTCACGTGCACACTTACCAACCCTACGCTTTCTGTAGCCCAATTTCAGCACCATATTTATGTTCCCATCCTGCAGTGCCTCACCGGAGGGCAATGTAAAGAAATTGTTGATTCCGAGGTTGCATAAAAAGGGTGGGAAGCTAGACCCGTTGTGGTGAGGATAGCGGGCACAGTTTGGCTTGGCGAGGCGTGCATGCAAGTGGTGCACCAGCAAAGGCTCCTACTACGACCGTGGTCCTGCGAGCGAAGCAACAATTTCGTAACAAATTTTCGGCAGGCTTCCGCAAAAATTTACAAGGTTGAGCGGCAAGTGAGATCAGCTAGTGAACCCTACAAAAAGGGACTGGCAAGAGTACAAATGCCCCTCCAAGCCAAACATTGCCGTCGGGAACCTTAGCGAATGATGTTTCAACTTCCTTCTATGTTTTTGTATATCAAATTTGACTGTCAACAATGGAAATGACACACCTGCTAGTGGATGGAGTTGATGGTGGAGTTTCTGGTGGAGCTGTAGCGAGCCGGCTCGATTTTCTCCTCAGAAGTGCAGCTTGCGACTCTGGTCCGGCCGACAGCGTTGTGTCATAAGCAAGCGCTGTGGAATCACTGGTTTCTCTCTCGATTGCTGACGTTTTCATACGTTTCGGGACCAAAGGAGATTCCGTTGCTTCATTAGCTCGCTTTGACTTTCCACTTTTCACTTGAGAATCAAGATAAACAGGTACTGGCGGAGAGCATTCTTTGACATTTCTGAACAGTGGTTCCTCATCGAAATCCGGGGCAAAGTTTTCTTGTACGTCCAACATGGGCTGGTTTCTCATCAGGCTGCATTGTTTGAGTTGGAGCTCGACTTATTTTAGACCGCTTGGGAGTGGTGGGTGCCGGAGTAACTGATACCTTGCCTTTTTGACGGGATGTTCGAACCTGCGTAGGCACGTCAACGGAGGAAGATAGAGCTCGTGATGGTGTACTGGCAGGGGCCGCTGGTGTTTTGGGATGTTTCCGAGCAGCAGAAGCCGCAGTTTTGGGAGGTGCAGAGGTGGCGAGATCGTTCGATTGTGCGTTCTTGCTTGATCGCCTGGTGATAGAAGTCCGAGGAGGAGTTTCCGTGCTCGTATTCCTCAATTTCCGATGCACACTCGTTTCCGGGATTTCCTCCAGAACCGGCTCGGAAGGCCTCTTTGAGATGGGTCTGTCTCCATGTTTGGCATCAACAACTGCTGGGTGCTCTTTGAACGTCGCCTTTTCACTCTCGAATTCTTCCGTAACTATAGACACGCCAACACAAGAGCGGAAACGAGGTTTCGGACTTAACGATACAGTAACTTCTGTACTTTCTACTGGCAACTTTGGAGGATGTGGTACTGGCAACTTTGGAGGATGTGGTACTGGCAACTTTGGAGGGTGTGGTATTGGCAACTTTGGAAGATGTGGTACTGGCAACTTTGGAGGAGGTGGATGTACTGATTTCCTTGCTTCTTGTCGTATTGCTGGCTCAGCGGGCCTCGAACTTGCATCATCAGCTGAGCTTGGTCTTGGGATAAACACAGGAAAGCCATCGTCGATCGAGAATTCACTGACTGGTCTTGGGTAGATTTTCACGGGAACAAGGACAGTTGTGCCACAGGGCAATACAACCTTCTTCGCTTTCGGTACCACCGCAGCAACTCTCTCCACAAATCCTCCTGGTTCACTTCCTCCTCTAGATCTTCCTATTATGGGAGGTGAAGGTGGGAGGATTGGGCCTATTGAACTTGATGGTTGTGCGTTTTTCTGGCTGAATGTAGGTGCTCTGAACGCCGGCGAAACCTTCGGTGACTCCATCGGAGGTTCGGGTTTGGGACTATGCGAACTTCTGGAGATTTTTCTCGAAGTAGCGAGCAGGGCTTCTTTTGGCTTTGTGATGGTATTGACACTGGGAATGGCAGAAGTCGACGGCAATGAAGCTCTTGTTTCATGCGGGTGCGATTCGTGTTTCCCTTTCATTTTGACCTGGTGCGCTTCTTTAGCCTTTCGGTATGGCGCCCGCTCGATTCTCCGCTTCAATAGAGGAGCTGGTAACCAACGGCGAAGAATGGTTATCCTTCGTTGTCGCTGTCGGCCTTCTCTTTGCTTCCGGAGGGAGAATATCCGCAGGAGAGAGCTCTAACTCCCTTTTACGCGGAGTTTTCCTGATCTGCTTGCTAGATGGCGGTTCAGCACTCGGAACTCTTTCCGGTTTGAGCTCCACAAAAGGCTGAGGTTGCGTAGAGCACACTGAAGATGTCTTGAGAGCATTTTTCGGTTCCATTACAGGTTCCTGCCTTAACGGCACGTCATCCGGTGGTGGATCTTTCACTACAACACCTTCGAGGTCCTCCACAATAACCAGGCGATCAGGAGAATCCGATAAATCGCTCCTGTGGGGGCTGAAATTTTCTGCTCCACCGCGATAAGCCGTAGACTTTCCATATGCAGTCAATGCGGCACCAACTTCCTGAAAATAAGGGTGCATCATTTTGGTCCCACTGAAATCAGCTTGGGAAGCGTCAGAAACCACTTACCTTGAAATTGACAGCTTGCGACCTACTAGAACTTGGCAACGACGTTTTGCCTCTTGGATCTTTCCGTCGCTTTTTGAATTTTCCCTGTAATGGTTATCTGATTTATCCAGCAATTTTTTTTCTAAAATGAAAGCGACCAAGCAGTGGTATATCTGGGATAGGGACAAGACACTCATAGTTTGTCGCTCGGTCGCGCGCGACGTATCGTGCGGCGATGAGCGTCAATTTGTCGACTGGAGCAGCGAAATAGATGTGAATCCAAAGGAACTCAAGACTCCGTGCCGGATAACACAGATCCTTCACGTCCTATTGATAGACAACTCGTCGTGCGGCGTCGCTCGCTACGCCCACCAGTGCGGCTTATCACGACTGTTTTTGTCACATGCCCCCGAAAAGCGATTTTACGACACAACATTCGCGCTATGCCTCGCTGGTGGGTGTGGCGAGCGCCGCCGTGCCCAGTGGACGAGTTATCCTGTCTACGCGCCGCCCCAGTGGATGAGTTGCCCTGCCTGTCCCGCGCCCGATGGACCAGTTGGCATGCCTAGCGTTTACATATGCGGGATGGGAAAACCCGCCCGCCATGTAATCTTGCCTCCGCTTTGATTCATGAGTAGATCCAATAGAGTACCGATGATCCAATAGAGTACTCAGGCACATATAGAACTCGTCGCGCATCGCCGCAGGATACGCCGCGCGCGACTTCGCGACAAGACTACGATTGTCTTGTCCCCTAGAAGCTGAAAAAAGCAAAACAAACTTTGCTCGATGATGTCGAAGAGCATGGAGAGTTTTGTGGACACGGGTCATCGATGGACTGACTTGGCATCGCGCCAAGCTGCAAAAGCAACAGGCATTCATCCATACTAGTTCGATGTACTTTCTTCTTCTTCGGAGGGAGGCGATGCAGCTCCTGCGTACTTTCAGGCTTCTGCTTCATATCACAGTAATTGCTTGCTGAAAAGTATGAAAACATTACATGAAGCGAAAGATGACCTCTACTTTCAGATCTATACCTTTGCATTGCAGGACAGCCTTACATTGCACCTTGTCTCTGATAGTCACAGCAGTGCTACTACCGGTCTGCACCTCGAAGAACCACGAAGAATCTTTCGTTACATATTTTGGAACTAAAAAGCAAAGCAGTCAGATCACCCAGCTGTTACCGTACTGGCTGTGCCAGAAGGATATCTTACCAGAGCAAGAGAACGATTCCGACTCGAACGAGCAGGTAGGCAAGACTTGCAAACTGTGCTCAACTGCCTCGGGTGTTTTCGCGTTGAGTTCTTCAGATAACCTAACCGCATGAGTTTGTGGAGCTGAAACAAATTGAGTTTATTATCATTCAGAGCGGAAAGTAGACCAATGAGCACATTCCCCGATAGCCCCTTGATGCTAATTCCAAGCTAAGCGCTCGTAAATAAATTCGCACAAGCTGCCGTTTGACTTGGGAGGGGCGTTTTGCACATTCCCTAGTTCCTTTTGCTAGTTCCTGTTAAATTACCTGTCATACCTTGACGAAACTTGTAGACATCTTGGAACCTGGTAATAATAGCGAAGCTTCACAGGAATTTACAGGCCCTGACAGGAGCATCGGTAATGACTGATGGGAACCAGCAAAATGCCCCCACCAAGCCGAGCCGCGTCAGAATCGAAGAGCCCTCTTAATCCCTGGGTTGAATATAGCT